CTCCTCCTCTCCCTCCTCCTCCTCTCCCTCCTCCTCCTCTCCCTCCTCCTTCTCCTCCTCCTCCTTCTCCTTCTCCTTCTTCTTCTCCTTATTCCTCCTCGTCCTTAACCTCCTTCTCTTTGTACTCCTTCTCCTCTTCCTCCTTCTCTTCCTCCTTCTCTTCCTCCTCCTTCTCCTTCTCCTTCTTCTTCTCCTTCTTCCTCCTCCTCCTTCACCTCCTTCTCTTTGTACTCCTTCTCCTCTTCCTACTCATCCTCCTCCTCCTCCATCTCCTCCTCCTTCTCCTCCTTATTCTTTTTTGTCATCAATGCTCACCTGAGGATATTTTTTGCCAGGTTTTTCAGAGAGAAGGGGGGAGGAAAGGAGGGAAGAGAGAGTGAGAGGGAGCGAAAGAAAGGGAGAAAGAGAGAGAGAAACGTGGATGTGGGGGACACATCTATGCGTTGCCCCCTGCATGCACCCTGACTGGAACCTGAGACCCTTCCATGTTCCTGCCAATGCTCTAACCACTGAGCACACCGGCGAGGGCAGCCCTCTCTCCTTAGGCTCTTTCCTCCTGTTTTCCTCTGTGGTGACTTCTTCCCTTCTTACTGATTTCTCCTTCTTGAGCACCTACTGTGTGCCAGGCTGTTTATAAGCATGGCCTCCCCTCCTCACACTTTCTCCTTCCCCTTCCCCTCCTATGGCCTCCAGCTCTCTGCTTACTCTCCATGTGCTCCACCTGGAAAGGGAAGGGGCACTAATTGAGCACCAACTGTGTGCTGGGTGATTGCCACTCACTGGGGCTTCTCCTTCCTCCCTCTGTTCTTCCTGCCCCTCCCATTCCCCCCCTCCCCCACGGCTTCCTCGTTTCCCTGTTCCTTTCCTCTCAGCATTGCAGGGGTGAGGTTTTCCTGACAGAGGGGTTAGTTGTCCTGGGGCTCTCAGTGGGCACTGCTGGGCTCCAACTTCACTTCTTCTTTGTGGATGATGATAGGCACTGGGGAGGGGGGCGGGGAGATAATAAGAATGGAGAGAGTGAGATAAAAAAAATGCTGGAATAGAACTCGGGAGATGGCAGTGCACAATGATGGGCACATGGGCACTGACACTTCCCTGGTCTTTAAGTCCTGACTGCTCCCTCGCTAGCCACCTAGGAAGCAGGAGCAGAAACTGAGGCTCAGACAGGGGAAGAGAACGGGCTCTATAGCCTCTCAACCTTGAACATCTGCACCGCCCTCCCCCTTTCTCCGGATGGATGGCATCTATTCCTCTCTCTCTTTCTCTCTCTTCCTAGCTCCATCTCATTCTCTCTCTTGTTCCCTCTATTTCATACTTCTCTCTCTCTCTCTCTCTCTCTCTCTCTCTCTCTCTCTCTCTCTCTCTCTCCTGTCTCATTCTTTCCCTCTCACTCTCTCATTCTCTTGCTCATTCCCTGTCATTCCCTCTGTCATTCCCTTTATCATTCATTCCCTCTGTCTCATTCTCTTTCTCTTTCTCATTCCCACTACCTCATCATTTCTCTATCATTCCACTACCTCCAGTGCATAGGGCAACCCTTGGATATTTCTCACATAGGTGATAGATCTCTCTCTCTCTCTCTCTCTCTCTCTCTCTCTCTCTCTCTCTCCCTCTCTCCCTCTCTCTCTCCTTCCTCTCATTCCCTCAGTCTCATTCTTTCTCTCTCTCTCTTTCTATCTCATTCTTTCCCTCTCATTCCCTTAGTCCCATTCTTTCTATCTCTCATTCTGTCTCATTCTTTTTTCTCTCTCTCATCCTCTCTCTCATTCCATCTCAGTCTCTCATTCCCTTTATCTC